CAGCAGCAGCTGCAGCAGCTGTGGCGGCCTTGTGGGCGTGCGGAGCGTTTGCTGCCGCGTTGCTGCTGCTCTGCTGCTTGGTGGTCGTCAGCAGCAGCAGCAGCAGCAGCAGCAGCACCTGCTGCTGCTGCTGCTGCTGCTGGCATTGCTCTTCTGGGGGCTGAGGGGGGCGGCCTGCTGGGTATTGATCCCCGCTGCCCCCTGCCGATACCTCTGCTGCAGCAGCAGAACAGCAGCAGCAGCAGCAGCAGCAGCAGCAGCAGCAACTACAGCAGCAGCAGCATCAGCTGCATACTACCCCTGCAGACGCATGCAGCAGGAGTGCTGATAAGGTGTGGGGCTGACGCCCTTTATCTCCTCGACCTCCGCAGCAGCAGCAGCAGCAGCAGCAACAGCAGCAGCAGCAGCAGCAGCAGCAGCTGGCAGGGGGGCCCACAAAGGTAAGCTGCCACAGTAGCAACTGGTGCTGTTGTTGTTGTTGCTGCTGCTGCTGCTGCTAGTTCTGTTCTGTTGCTGCTGTTGTTGTTTGTGTTAGTGTTGCTGCTGATGCAGCACTGCAGATGGTGTTGCTGATGGATGCGTGGCTGCTGCTGCTGCTGCTGCTGCTGCTGTCGATGCGCTTCTTTGCTTAACAACAGCAGCAGCAGCAGCAGCTGCTGCTGCTGCTGCTGCAGCTTCTGAACCCTTGTCTGCTGCTGGTGTACTTCGTGCTGCTGCTACTTCTCATGCTGCTGCTGCTGCTGCTGCTGCTGTGTTTGCTGCAGCAGCCGCCTGTCCGCCTGCGTCGTCCGTGAGTTTGTGCCTCCCCAGCGAAGCAGCAGCAGCAGCAGCAGCAGCAGCAGCAGCTTCAGCTGCAGCAGCAACAGCAGATGGCGGTTTGCTGTCGACAGCAGAGAGGAGCTCATTGTTGCCCCTTTCCCCTTCAGCAGCAGCAGCAGCAGCAGCAGCAGCAACTGCAGCAAGTGCAGCAGCAGCAGCAGCAGCAACGGCAGTTTCTTAGTATTCGATCTTCGGCGTGGTGGCTGCTGCAGAGANCAGCAGCAGCAGCAGCAGCAACGGCAGTTTCTTAGTATTCGATCTTCGGCGTGGTGGCTGCTGCAGAGAGATTGCAGCAGCACCTTCTGCAGCAGCAGCAGCAGCAGCAGCAGCAGCAGCAGATGAGCTGCCAGCATTTGAGTTGTTTGGGTGCTGCTGTTTGCTTCCTCGTGCTGCTGCAGATATCAGCAGCAGCTTGCTGCTGCAGCAAGAGGTCCTCATACACCCCATGCTGCTGCAGCAGCAGCAGCAGCCGCTGCAGCACCTCCCCTTCCCGGGGGGCGGCGTCTGTGGCCGCACGCGCTGCTGCGCTGCAGCAGCAAATACACCCCAGCAGCAGCAGCAGCAGCACCAGCAGCAGCAGCAGCAGGGTTTTCAGGGCTTCACCAGGTGTATAGACACCTGGAATTGCTTCTGCAGCGGGGATGCAGCAACGCCAAACCCGCAGCAGCAGCAGCAGCAGCAGCAGCAGCAGCAGATAACCAGTGCATGCTGCGCACTGCTGCGACTGGGGGGCTGGCCGTCTACTGCAGCATATCAGCTAAAGCACAGGACAGCAGCAGCAGCAGCAGCAGCAGC